TTGAAAAGGAAAATGGTTGTTTTTTTTTAAAAAAAGTGCTGTTGTTGCTTCTCACTGTTAGTTGTAAAGAAGAAACGAACACACCAGGCATTGATACTTTTTGCTGAATTGTCACATATAAGTAATGGCAGTGCTGCTTGTGTGTTTTTTGGTGATTAACAAGGCCCTGGTATCTCATGTTTCTCATAATGAGGTCTTGATAAATCTCTAATAAGTGAGTAGATAATTAATAGAAAGATTGTCCCGGAAGTTTTGCCTGTAAGACTAATAACTGAACTGTTAACTAAAGAACATAGTACATAAGTTTTTTTCCACCCTATGTCAATGTCAGTTGTTGCACAACATATTTTTTTCTTTTCTTTTAAAAGGTCACCCTTGTAGATTTAAGGGGTGATAGGACCTAAACTACTGCCAAAATTACCTTAGTGGTGACCAAACCATGTTCAAATTTCTTTAAGTACAAGAAACTTTGTCATTCTCAGTTTTAGAAAAACCTTCCATATGAAAGATATAGTCAAGGAACAAAAGCAATACATAGTAAGAAAACTAAGAAATTTCAGTTGGTATTGCACAATGATTATGTATGATTTCTTGATCGTTATGCCCACATGAGAAAGATATAATAGAATTTCAGTTTATAATGCAACTGACTAAATAAAAAAGTGAAACTGAAGTTCCAATATTTTACAGAAAATCTAGGAGTGGCTTCACCATAACTTCTTATGACCAGTATATAGGGAAGCAGAGCAAGTTTATCTACAAGTAATCAGTGGTCAGGTGTAGAAGCGGTGCACTTTTACCTACAGTAATTTAGTTAGCCACGCACACATCAAGGGCTTAGTTATATCCCTATAACCTATATATACATCCTTCATGGCAAAACCTATATATGATCGGTGTACAAGAAGGACCGATAGTATATTATTATAGTTTCTGGTGTAGTCTTACAAGTCTCAGCTAAAAACTACAATAAAAAAACTCTTCTAAAGCTAATACTGTAGCTGATAGCAGTAAATCCAGTCCCTCAATCTAACCAAAGTGATGGTTTAGAAACACACTTTAACCAACGCGAGGAAATTATATGTCTAAGATCAACAAATGTACTCACGTGAAAACTGAATCATAACCCCAAATAACTCTCTATTGAGTCATATATAGTACCAGATCACGGCACTTTGGGGAGTCACCACCAACATTACCTAAAGCCATCCAGCCTGCAAAAAACAAAAATAAAAAGAAAAGAACATAAGCATCACTCTACGTAAGTCCCATATAGAAGAGAGTAACTCCAGTAATTCAGGGCATGCCTGTTTATGAACATCCTCGATGTGAGAGTTGAGGAGCTTGACAAAGAGAGGCACAACTATGGAGAGCAGCTTCCTCAAGTGCGTGGTTGCCTCAAGCTGCACAGTGGGGTTGTTGGAGAGGATGGCCTGCACCAGCGTCGGCAAGCTATCGAGCTGCACAACCAGACGACAAGAAAATCAGATCCATATCGTTAGATCGAGTACCACCCCGTCACCAAGACCCTAACAAAGGGGGCGGATAAGATCGGGGTAAGAAAAAGCGAGCCAGGGAGGCAGGCCAGCACCGAACTTTCTCTAGGAGTGCGGTGGAGTGGCCTTCACCGCCACCACTGGCGGAGGGCTGTGGAGGCCAAGCTGGGCGCTGGCCTCCCCTTCCTCCATGCACTTTCCAATGAAATTTTTCATCTGTGCTCCTTAGCATTTCTACCAGACGTATAAAATTAGTGTTAGCTTGTTGAATGTAAACTCAATCTGACAGCTTGGCCCCGTCTTGGTTTGGCACCACGCTCCGCCACTGACCGCCACGTCCGACACTGGGTGCGACGGGGAGGGAGAGGAGGCGACGGGGTCCTCGGCGGCGATCCCGTTGGCGGTGCGGATCTGGTCGGCGAAGGGGAGGCCCGCGAAGATGACCTCGATGATGGAGCTGGCACCGGCGAACCAGGCTGGCCACTCCGCCTCTTGCCTCCCGCCCCTCGCCCGAGAGGAGGGCGACGACGGGAGGGAGACCGGGAGTCCAGAGGCGTTTTTTTGGGTGGGGGGAGGGTTATCGGTTTTGGAATTGGTTGAGAAAAGGGGGCGGCGTGGGAATCGATCCCTGGCCGCGGAATCAGGTCGCAGGGGACGGGAGAGCGTGCGGGGTGCGTTCACAGGATCGCACGGGTGGCGGCAGAGCGAGCCCAAATTAATTGTCGCAATATTGGATTGTCTTAGTTTTATTCTTTTTAGTTGTAAAGGATAAAATAGTTTGGCTTGCCTTGGGTGGGTCGTAGTCTGGCCGTCTAGGTACGGTAGACGCTCGACATGTCGCATTGTCGCTACTTGATCTGAGCATGAAAGCATCATCTTTTTTTTCATCTTTCGAATCCTGTTTCAATCCGTCAATTCTCTCTCTTCCCTCGAACCAAAACGTCATATCTCGCTAGAGACCTTGTTTGGATGCTTATGTATTCATCTCGAACCACATATGTTGGAGTGGATTGGAGTGTAATTGAACTAAATTCCGTTCCAATCCACTTCAACACGTATAAATTAAATTGAATACACATGCATCCAAACGAGAGCGCAGAAGGAAGGTGTCGATTTACCTGAGCTGAGAGTGACTCTACCCAAGACCTAACGGTCCGCTAGTATAGGTCGTGTGCCAGCGCGCGAACGCGACGCGGTGGAGAACGAAAGAAAGAACCACACCGTACCCCGCGGCCCCGACGCACGTAGGGTAGGACGGGTGTGCGCTTCTCCTCAGCCGAGCCGCGCGGGCACACCGCGAACAAGCCCGGTGTCGTGACGCGCGCGCGGCTACGTGCAGGGTACAGCACCGTACTATGCGCGTAAACAAAACGGCCGGGCTATATGCACTGCCACTGGGCGCCGCGGGGAAGGACGTGGACGCCCGACGCTGATGCACGAATCGGGGCGCGCCCACGTGCGTAAGCCGTGATAGCAGCAGCGTTCGGGTTTGGCTCTCCCGGTGGGCGGCAGGGTGGCCGGACGACTACGGCCGAACGGACCCAGGCAAGTTGGGGTCGTGGAGATTCTGATAGATGGACGGGCGGCGGTGATAGGTGATGGAACGACGCTGGCGTGGCTGACCGAGCGAACCCTTCCGTACGTCGCCCGATTGAAAATTCCGCGGACCACGGAGAAAAGCCGGGAGGACACCGAGAAAACATTTGGAAAAAACGGAGCAGGTCCGCTCGTGCTGGATCACGTACGAGCGGTGTCCACAAGACCACAAAGCGTGGGGCGAATATGGTGCTGAGAAGTCGTTTGTTGAGAATGACGTGCGCACGCACGGAGACGGAGTGTGCCTGTCCACCTTTATTTTGTGATTGGCAACCAGGAAATTGATCTTGAAAAAAGCCAAGAATTCGATCTTGAATCTGGATCGTTTGTTTCTGCTTGCGCGTGGGGGCCGGAGAAGACACCTACCTACGCGGGGGGGCGGCCGTCCTGGCGGGAGGTTGGGGAGCAAAGGTACGGGCCTCACAGGAAACGGATTGGTGGAGCAGATCTTTGCTAGATTTGACCAAAAGCTTCACATGGGCTACGTACGCGGACCATCATCCATCGCAGGTGCTCGGTTTTCCTTTTCCTTTTGTAAACCAAATGAACCGAGGTGCAAGCTTTCGAACGTACTACAAGCTGCAAATGTTGTGATTTCCAAAAAAAAAAACCCCACTTAGCCTGGTTCGTTTCGCTAAAAAGTCAGGCTAATTCTGAAACAAAGAAAAAGAACATTACCATGATGCTAGGCACTCACCACACCCGCCGTGAGCTACATACATCAGCTATGCCTAGGTAGTGTGCATGTTTGAGGCACCAGAAAAGAAATGCTCTGTTCGCTTGGCTGATAAACCATGACTGAAAATACTGTTAACTGATTTGCTGTGAGAGAAAAATACTATTTATTAACTGTGGCTTATAAGCCGAGCGAACAGGGCGAAAGACACGCGCGCGCACCAGTCAGCAGACACGGACACGACGCGACCCATCGCATTGGCTTTGCACACGGAGAGGCCGGCCGGCCGGGCGGCCAGCAGGCGAGCACTTGCCCGGCCGGGCGGTTCCGATCATCCGATGATGCCCAATCACACCAGCCCATATTGCGGCCATCATCTGGCTGCGCTCCTTTGGCCCGGCAAAAGGCCAGCGCGCGACAGTGAAAGAGCTAGGGGGTTCGCGGATGTGATCCTGAAAGACGTTTTGTCTAGGAAAGGAAAAGGAGCTAAATTAAAGAGAGCAACACACACGAGTTGACATCATAAGGAGGGCAAAAAAGCAACGCAGCTTTTGCTACTTTCTGAAAGTCCCTTGAGCCAACGAAGAGGGGTGCCGGGATCGAGATCATCCTGGGAAATGTAAACATTTTCGGTTATACTCTAGTCTGTGGAAGCGTACGTGGTGCTTTTCTACGATATATGCCAATCCATAGCTTGTTGAAAGTAGTTTGGAACGGGTATCATTGCTTTGTTCATCAGTAATGCAACAATCTACTACTACCGTGTATTCCCATGCCCCGTTACTATTTTCTTTCAATCATGTATAAACAACCAGTTAAAACTTGAACTTACTTTTATTTTTTCATATAGCTGTAGTTCAAGTGATCAATAGACGATTGATCAATGCCATTGCCATGCCCACAAAAGAGTCCATAATGAATCAGTTGCCTTTGTTAGCGAGACTTAAATCGTGAGCTACTTTACCACCAGACATAGGGCGTGTTTGGTAATCTGTATCTAGCTGGCATAGCCGGCTGACCTGGCTATGGCCAGCCAGAGTCAGATCCAAATGGTGCAAGTGGATGTATTTGGTTGCATGTTCCCGTGGAGCCGAGCTGAGACGAGATCGTGTTTGTTTGTATGTATAGAAGAGGTGTGGCTACCTTGCACAGGAACGTGGTAGCCTTACCACCAGAGAACTCGTCACGAGCATTTCATCGAGCAGTTGGTGGGCGCGAGCTAAGGGATGCACATGGTGCAGATCAACAGCGGTGAGGGACGAGGAGCTGGAGGACAGGACGCCGCCGCTATCTCCTCTCGCTCCTCCTGCTGCGACGCCGGAAGCTCCTTCTCATCTGGACGGCTCCGCTGCGTCCCGGCCGCGCGCGGCGGGTGGCGTGAGCGCCTGCCTCACCACCTCCCGGTTCCCCTTCCTCATGGGCACGCGCGCACCCGCGGCCCTGCTGCTCCTCGGCCGCCATGGCGCCGCGGGCGTCGCATGTTGCTGCGCGCCAGCGCCCCCGCTCGCCCCACCGGCGACGAGCCGGCTGCAGCTGCAGGAGCAGGACCCCCGGCCTTGGACGAGGAAGAAGCGGGGGCCATGGAGGCGTCTTCCAGGGACGCCCTTCGCCCAGCTCGTCGTCGCCATAGCCGACCCGGGTCGGTTGCGAGGAGAAGGACGACCAGCTTGGCTGCAGCGGCGGCGGCCTTGGCATCGGCGACGAAGGCGAAGGGCGACCCAGGCACGCGGCGCTGGGAACACGGAGGAGGGCAAGCGGCGCTGGGAGGAGGGGACGAGCAGGGGAGCGGATTAGAGCAGGACGCCGGGGAGGGGGACGGAGCGCCGCGTCCGCCGCGCGGAGTAGGACGCCGGGGAGGGGACGGGGCGCCGCGCCGCGCCGGCCCTACTACCTTCGAGCAGGAGGGGGAGGAGAGCGCGGTGGAGAAGAGCGGAAGGTGAGGGAAGGAGACGGAGGTAATCGGCCACGGCTAGCCCGTGAAAAAACGAAGGATACTTCGTTTTCTGAGGCCTGGCCCATGGTGCTTTAGATCTCGTGCGGGACAGATTCCGATGTTGGGCCAGGTGCACCAAACACGGGAGTTGCAGCCAGGCCGTCGGGCCACGTTACATAGTGCCATCTGGCTAGCCATCGGAGAGGATTCTGACCTGGTTGAGCAATATGATCCACTCATTCACACAAGATATAGCTACTAGCATTCGTGCGGCCGGTGCAGACTAGCTAAGGGGACCCAACAGGTCAAACTATCAAAGGAGGCCGAAGGGAAGAAAAAATGCAGTAGACATACGTACGAGCATACGACCACATCTACCTACTACCTGTACCTGATCGTCCAGTCTATACGGTGTGCGGACCGCACGGGTTGCCCCTGGGGGCTGGACAGCGTACCCATGGCGTCACGGCAGTGTGAGCATGACGACGAGCGAAACCGGTCGGCGCCCGGTGGCGACGGGCCTGGCGGTGCGCCGGCAACGTGGACTTGGGAGCGCGTTTCGTCCGGTTCCCGTCCGTCCCCGGACAGCCGCGAGAATTACGGCGGAAAGCAGCGCGCCACGCCCCGCCCCGCCTCGTGGTCACCGCGCCGCGGTTCCCTGCACGTTCCCGTTCCGTCCCGAGTTGGATGGACATCATGGACCGGACGTGACCACGGTGACTCCACTCTCCACCACACCGCAGGCCGGGGAACAGATTATTGGAGGAGGGAAACAGGAAAGTGAAAAGCCGAAGCTATCTACCACGCGGTTGGGGTCGGATAGATCGGAGACGTGCGAATTTCTAGCAATTTGTATCCGTGAAATTATTGCTCCGTGTAATAATATTTATCTGTGTTTTTACTGAAGTCGATTGCTCGTTTTAAGTTTCATGCAGTGTTATCTTATTTCTTATTTCTTTAAAAAAATATTATTCTCTTTGGATCCAAAAACGATATATTCCTCCGGCCTATCTCAGTTGGCGCTTTTTTCTTTGGCACGCAAAAAGCCGTGATCTCCCCGATCCAAAAAATCCAAAAGCGCAGGACAGTCCTATCCTGCCTCTGCAGTGGCCTAGGAAGATTGAAAGCCTTGGACCGGGGCCTACTCTGTCCTGCGGGCCCTCTAGCCCACCCAACGACGAAGGGCCCGGGGTGCAGGAAGGGAAGGGATGTCCCCTGACGAGTCACGGTCAGGGCTTGTCTCTTGCCTTATCCCAAGGATTTTCCTCCTGGATGGTTTCCTGAGGTCTGGGCCTTGTCTGACTGGAGATCGTGACAAGGGGTTAGTTTGCATGGGCTTTGATAATCAGCAGAAACTTTGTACAAGTTGGGCCAAGCCCATGACGTGTTAGGTGGGTAGCCTGGTGCCGACTGCCGACTGTGGAAACGGAAGCCACGTTCCTCCGGACTGAATATTCCGAGTTTCTGAAACACGTTACTCGTGCTCCGGGACACGCGGAAGCGAAGCAGGCCAAGTCCGGTACGGCGAGCTGACCTGACTTCAGAGCAAGTATTATAAGGCTGACTGATTCAGCCGGCTGAATCCCAGGTCACATAGGAAAGAAGCGTGACGTGGCAGAGAGAGAAATAGAGAGAGAAGATGAGCCGGCGCTAAACATCCAGTTCGCTTGATTATATCAGCCATGCTTATCAGTTATGATACTCCCTCTGTATTCAAAATACTAGACGTCCTGGGCCAACGACCCATTTTCGTATAAGCTGACCTTATGGCCTCCCGATGGAAACATTGGACGCGAATGCCCTTGGCCATGCATGCGCCGCCACTTCCGTTCCTCGCCCTCGGTACTTGCAGCAGAAGCACGCGCGCCTCCTCTCTTCGCCTCTCCGACGCAGCCACGCCTCCTCGCTCCTCCATCGCTCCGCTCGCAGAACTCTTCTGCCGCCGCCGCCTTGTTAGGGTTTAGCCTTCGCCATGGATTCTCGCCGGAGCCTCGATCGCCGCTTCGGAGGTGCTCGCCTACACGCCGACGCCACGGGTCTCCGCGGACGTCGCACCGGTCTCCGCGGACGTCGTGCCGCACGCTTCGCACGGTCGATGCTCGCCGCAGACAAATCTCCTCACTCACGGGTGGTGGTGTGACTCGACGAGTCTTTGCAGACTCAACGCGCAGTGTCTTCGGACTTCGACGAGTCTTTGCAGAGGACTCGACGGCAGCAGTCACGGGACTCCGTCGAGAGGTGCCGACTTGCCGAGGAGCTGCCCGACCGACGAAGTTCTGTCTTTGACTCCATCGAGGTGCAGCTAGAGTACGATGTGGTGCTGCCGGACTCCGTCGATGTACTGCCGGACTCCGACCAGCTGGACGAGGTGGTGCTCAAGGAGTGAAATAAATATAGGAATCTGTACATACTCAAAAAAATAGCATGATGTAAATATAGGCATGCTTACCATGGGGGTTATGTAAATAATCAAAATCTACAGCTCCAAATTCATCTAGTGGCAAGTTCAAATCAATTCTCGTCCAAAAATAAAAGAGCATGCTGAGAATGGAACCTAATATGCATGCCATGCTCCACCGGATACAATGAAACAATTCATGTCAAAAAGAAAAGAACATACTGCTGCCATGCTCCAACGGAGGCTCGTTCGAGATAAAAAAAGCGTCGTCGTCATCATCTTCATGCTCTCGCGAGATGAAACTCGGTGTTGCCATCGCCATCTTCATGCTCACGCAACATGAAACCGCTGATGTCGTTGAGATCTCACGGTAGGTTGCCATCGCGCATACGTAAACAACAAAACAAAATGGAATTAATAATAGATGGTTACCGCTGCCATCGTTGAGATCCCACGGCAGGTTGCCGTCCTCTTCTTCTTCTACACGAACGTTGAGATTAAAGCCAGAGAAGTAATCAGCCATTATGCCGTAGTAGTAGATGTGCAAGGAGAACAGCTAGTCCATGACGGCGTAGTAGCACCAAGCAAGGCAGGGAAGGCAAGGGAGTAAATGGCGTTGGAGAAGAGAGAAAGCAAGTTGCCGCATAAATAAGCCAGTGGCGTGGAGTACAGGCAGCTCAAACGTCGGTCTTCTCATTCGAAACGAGCGCGTACCATCAGCCATCCGAGCGCGCAGACGAAATAAGAAAATCAAACAACCTGAAACGCGCGCCAAGCGAAAATGCAGGCCCCCAAGCGACTCTAGCTTCCATCTGCGCGAAAAAAGGACGCGCCACGCCGGTGGAACAGTGGCATGCACGCCCATGCAAAATTCCCATGCAAAATGAAGGGGGCAAAAAAAAAAGTGGCTGCCAGGGTTTGAACCCGAAGTCGCAGCACTCATGCCTCCACACACTAGTCAGTTGGGCTGAGTTACTTTCTCGTAAAGATAGCACCCGCAACCATATTTATTATGAGCAAAGATGAAAAACTAACCCCTAATTAATCATCCTTAGTTACCGCAATCATGTCCTAAACGTCAAATTTTTTTTATATGAAAAGAGTAGTATTTTTCTCTCACAATAAAACAATCCTCGACTGCAACAGCATGCATTCAGAGCAGCCACTTGATGAGGCTATAGATTCTGACGACTTTCTACTGCGTGTGGACAGCAATAACAGCATTGCAGAAGATAGAGCAAGCCCTAAATTTGGTTTTTGGGGCTAGTGTAGCACGTTCGTTTTTATTTGGTAAATAGTGTTTAAACATGGACTAATTAGGCTCAAAACGTTCGTCTCGCAATTTCCCACCAAACTGTGTAATTAGTTTTTATTTTCGTCTATATTTAATGCTCTATACATAGATCACAAACATTCGATGTAACAGATACTGTAGCAACTTTTTGAATTTTAGGGTCCAACTAAACAACAAGTCGCAAGTCTTAGAGTACGCACGCCATGACGCGTTTCTAACAGATGCCTCTAACTCTACTGAATGTGGCAGAGAGAGAAATGGAGAGAGAAGATGAGCCGGCGCTGAATGGGTCACACCGCCCGTTCCCAGCCAATGGCAAGCAATAAGCCTCGGCGCTTGCTCCCTGCCACCTTCCCCTCTCTCTGGGTCTCTGGGTCTGTTCGCTGGTGGGTGTTGGTGCTGGTTTAGGCTGACTGGTGCTGATTTTTTTGAGAAAAAAATACTGTTGACTAACTAGTTTAGGCTGGTTGAAACCAACCAGCGAACAGGATACAGCCAACCTCTTGGCCAGCTTGTTAGATGTACAGGCATATTAGCCATGCTCTCACCGGTTCACCCACTGCTGTAGCTGTATTGCACTACTGTTCCCAACGTTTCCATCGACGAACATTTCCACGAAAATCTCGCCGCTCTCGCGAAAAAGGACGCCACCGCCGACCGCCCTCGCTTGCGGCTCCCCACCCCGGGGCCGGCCAGGTGCAGGGGCGCCTCGCCCGCGCGCGGACCAGTCAGTCAACCACCCGCGTCGGCGGACCCATGGCGGAGGCGGGGAGGCGGACGCTGGCGCTGGTGAACCTGGCGGCCATCATGGAGCGCGCCGACGAGGCGCTGCTGCCCGCGGTGTACGGGGAGGTGGGCGCCGCGCTGGGCGCCACGCCCGTGGCGCTCGGCGCCCTCACGCTCTACCGCTCCGCCGTGCAGGCCGCCTGCTACCCGCTCGCCGCCTACGCCGCCGTGCGCTACAACCGCGCCCACGTTATCGCCGTTGGGGCCGTTCTCTGGGCCGCCGCCACCTTCCTCGTCGCCGTCTCCGACACCTTCGCCCAGGTCCGTCCATTCCTAGAATATCCTACTTTATGCGGCGGCGTGTTTTCTCTCTTGGCGTGGGATCTCTTGCCACGAATTTGGTAGGTCACCAGTCCAATTGTGCTCAGCTTTAGCTTTGGATCTGATTATAGAACTAGGGTGCGGATCCTTAGCGGTATATGCTTCGGTTCCCTACTTTGGTTCATCCGCCGATAATTCTGTGCTTTGTGCTTTCGCTATCGAGGCTTTACTGGCCAAAAAGCTGATGAAGGTTCACTTTAGTTTCCTGTGCGACTTTGCGCATTCCCTTCGCTCGTAGTATCAGCAGTCAAGTTTGAGATGCTATAGGAAACCAACTTTAGATCAAGGTAACCGTAGAAAATGTTAGCACGAAATTTTTGCTGAGGAATCTGACTTATTATTACTTATTAATTAAGTAAAAAATTTGCAAGTAATGCATTAAATGGTTGATTTATGTCTATACATAAATTATCTGATATCCATGAAATTAGTTTTTATTTCTTTCCATTCCAGATTTTGAAGTGGGAACTTTCTCTGCCATTTTTCTCCTGGATATAAAATTGTTTTAACTTTCAACCTGTTGTACTCAAATCTGGTTGGATCTCCATGAAATATCATTGTTTACAATCAAAATTGATTTTGAAGTTCGAAAACCTCAAATTTAGTTTGCTTGAGATTTTGCCACATCAATTTGTGTGCTGTGAAATTTATCTTAAAATAAAGTTTCTATTAGTCCTCAACAGAATAATAAGTTTTTGTGTACAAGTAAAAGATGAGAACATGTGTGCATGAAAAATGTTTTTTTTTGAGCAGGTAGCGATAGCTAGAGGTTTGAATGGTATTGGCCTAGCACTTGTCACCCCAGCAGTCCAATCTCTAGTGGCAGATTGCTCTGATGACAATACTCGAGGCGCCGCATTTGGATGGCTTCAACTCACAGGCAACCTTGGTTCAATTATTGGTAGTTTGTTTTCCCTGATGCTAGCATCAACCACAGTCATGGGTATTGCCGGTTGGCGTGTTGCATTTCACATTGTTGCTCTTATAAGTGTTGTAGTCGGTGTGTTGGTTGGCGTATTCGCAGTGGACCCCCATTTCCTCCATGTTGAAAGTGGCGAGCAGCTGTTGCCCAAGTCTGCATGGGCAGAGATGAAGGATTTGGTGAGAGAAGCCAAGGCTGTTGTAAAAATCCCATCATTTCAGATCATTGTGGCTCAGGGTGTCACAGGCTCGTTTCCATGGTCTGCCCTGGCCTTTGCCCCAATGTGGTTGGAGCTGATGGGGTTTACACATAACAAAACTGGACTCCTCATAACAACATTTGCACTGGCAAGCTCACTTGGAGGGCTATTAGGTGGAAAGATGGGGGATCACTTTGCTATTCGCTTCCCAGATTCTGGTCGAATAGTCCTGTCACAGATAAGCTCGGCTTCTGCTATTCCACTGGCTGCTCTATTGCTTTTGGGGCTCCCTGATAACTCCTCTTCTGGTTTCTTGCATGGACTTGTCATGTTTATTATGGGGCTGAGCATCTCCTGGAACGGTCCTGCAACTAACAAGCAAGTACATTTTCACCTTTTATTTGATTCATTCGTTGCTGAACATATTATCGACACCAAAGCATGCACAGGGAATCCATTTCTGCATTAGTACTTTACTGAACTTTTACTGGGCATACAATATATTTTATGACATGCAAGAGTAGTGTTAGACATAATCTGCTGCTCCCCATTCTCTCCTTGGTTGGAGAGTGGTCGGCCCACTCTCCTTGGTTGGAGAGCGGCCGACCACTCCCTGTTGGGAGTTGGGGACTGATCGGCTCTGCCGATCAGTTCCTGTAGCTGTAGCAGTATTGCAATAGGCCATCTCTAGTACATTAGTTGGTAGCTATTACATCAGCCATGTCTTGGTAGTGGGCTGAGGTAATCTTTGTACTGTTAGGAGTAGTTGGTATACTCTGTACCTTAGGAGTAGGTAGTTGGTGTACTCTGTACCTTAGGAGTAGGTAGTTGGTGTACCCTGTACCTTAGGAGTAGGTAGTTGGTGTACTCTTGTACTCAGGAGTAGGTAGTTGGCCAACAACTATGTACCTAGTAGAGGTATAGCTAGAGTTATATATATTCCATCCAAAGGGCAATGGAATACTCAGTTCAGTTGTCACAAACCAAAGAGCAGGGCTTCGGTCAACGCTGGTGCTTGTGCTGAGTGTGTGTGCGCTGTTCTCAATCTCTTCTTCTACCTCTAGCCATAGTGAGTGAGTGTGTGTGCTGGTAAGCTAGTTGTTTACCTGTGCAGGGCAGCCAGGGATCAACAAGTAGCTCTATGAAATTCTTGAGTGCTGGCAATAATGATTCTATTTAATTTGCAGCCCGATATTTGCTGAGATTGTACCTGAGAGGTCAAGAACAAGTATCTATGCATTGGACCGTTCTTTTGAGTCAGTTTTAGCTTCATTTGCTCCACCGGTTGTTGGGTTTCTAGCTGAGCATGTTTATGGCTACAATCCCATCTCCTATGGAGCTGCAGATGACAATGTTGGCAGGGATAAATCAAATGCTGATGCCCTAGCCAAAGCTCTGTACACGTCGATCGCCATCCCTATGCTGCTTTGCTGCTTCATCTACTCCCTGTTGTACCGCACATATCCACGCGACAGGGAGAGGGCAAGGATGGACACTCTGATCACTTCAGAGCTCCAGCAGATTGAACTGGAAAGATGTCATGGGCTAGGGGGTTATTATTCTGGAAGGAAGGAGGACGCCACTGCGATCGATATGGAGTACAGCGAGGAAGATTTCGATGCCGATGATGATGAAAAGGGGCTGATGGAACAGCAGGCTAAGCAGAGTGGCAGTGTCAAGTGGCACAGTAGTGATTCACAAAATTTGTGACGTTTTTGCCAAAGTAATAGTGTCTCCCGGATCTGTACAGAAAATACATGATATATGGGCGAGTGAGAGTGAGTTACCTTTTGAAGGACGATTACAGAAGGTTGTTTAGGTATGTGCTTACATAGACTTTTAGTTCAGAAGCATCAGAGCCATTCAGTTCTTTTCTGTATTATATAATAGTATATAAACCTTTTTGGAGCAATATGGTGGTGAATATATCTGTAGTCAAAAGTTCGAATGGATGAAGCTGGTGACTGGTGAATAGGTAGGAGGGATAAAGTATGATACGCAATTCCTTGTACAGTAAAGTTATGGCACTTCATGTTTCATATGAGCGCGTCTAGCTCAGTCGGTAGAGCGCAAGGCTAACCTTGTGCTCGTCGGTTCGAGCCCCACGGTGGGCGTTTGTCCTTTTATTGTTCTTCACTGGTGGCGTTTTTCCTTTTTTGTGCAGGGCCAGAAAGCCCTCTTTTATTGTTCGTTACTGTCATAGACCATTAGTACTCGTGCACCTTTCTGGTCTGCTATAGAGAACATGCATCTCTTTTATGTGTCCTTCACTGATCAGAGATCATAATACCCATGCACCCAGCGCCTTTCTGGTCTCCTGTAGAGAGAATGCATGGCTAGTATATGCTCCAGCCTTATAATTCCACTAGTGAAGGGCGCGCACCATCGCGCGCATATGCCGTTACAGCGAAAATTTTTAACATGGAGGAAGTGCGGTAAATAACAAGGTACATAGATATATATGTAGGATGTATATATTATATACATTGTTCAAGTGTTGCAAGTTAAGTACGGTGACTGATAAGGAAGCATACGACATGATTTCTTTATGGGTTGCAAGTGTTGCAAATACATATACAGGGTAATATACAAAGATCAGGTTTCTTTTTGGGTGGTAGCCTGAAACCCTTCCAAGGCCCTATAAGACCGGCATAGCAAGCATAGGACGAGGATCTTCGAGGTGGGAAGTAGGATCCTCGGCACATCACAAAATGGCGAGGCAGATATGTTGCCGATCGGTGTCACCTGGTGTAGCAAGCAGCAAACCACAAGGTTAGGAAACTCGGTGAAAAATGGAGTGGAAAGGATAAAAAGTCAGTACCATTCTTCACACACCAGCATGACCATAGATGTGGCGAGTTTCGTTGAATGAAACTGAAAGCTTTAGAAAATCACTGTAAACACAGATGCGAAGGAGTAATTCAAGCATACCTTACAATTCAACCACCAATTAGAATAGATGCAAACCACATCCGTGCACATTCCCCTGGTCCAACCGGTTGTTGATTCCCATTGCAAATCGAATAGCTGTGTAGATCATCAGACCTTTAGATGGTTGGGCAATTAAATTAAAAAACTTATAGAAGCTCATCCAAGGATAATTAACACAGTTGAGTCACTACATGTTTCCATTCTATTAAAGATTGATGCTTTATCAGAATCTAGATGGAAGGTCAAGAAAATAAAAGAAACAGAGGAGGTCATAAAACAATAATTACGTAGCTGAATCACTACTTCATAGACTGACCGGTCCATAGTCAAGTAAAATCCATATCGATTGAATTGGTTGACGAAAAAGGCCAACGACTTGACATACGAACCAAAGAAGTCTCCAGGCTGTTGCATAAGGGTGAAAATCAATTCGTTGAAGCCCTATGAAGTAATGCACCAAATTCGGCTTAACATTGTCTCCCTTCCATATATATTGGTAGTTTTATTTACAGTTTTACACATTATTTTGGTAGAATGAACTAAAATCTAGCATGCGGTTGTTTCTGTAGAGGGGCCATGCGTAGGCATGCTAAAGTCTGTTACACATAAAAAATACCGATCGCTTTCGTCCAATCTCCTTCGCGTGCGCGCCTGAACGCTGCGGATAAGATCCCTGCCCATACGAGTCTCCGAGTCAGAGTCTGATACGAGCCTGTGCGCGTCCGTCGAGTCTAACGATGGCAATGGGTAAATCCCCATCGGATATGGCCACCCCAGATCCGTACCCGTTATAAAAATTTGAGACCGTCAGAATCCCCATACCCAATCTGGGTAAATCAAACCCGGCGGGTCACCTGTACCCGCCAATAGTTTATTTACGCACATAAAAATCAACAATTCAACAACAACCGCTAGTAACAGAGCACATAAAATTAGACAAATAATAGCATATAATAATCTCTACTGCAACTTCAGCTTGGACCTCTGGATCTTTGCAACTTCAGAGTGTTCACGGCGTCGACGAACACGGGATCCGACGGCTTCAGGCAGTCACCGTCCTCCAGGACGTCCACAATGTCCCTTAATGCTGGAGTGAAGGAGCAGGTTAGTGCAGGGAAGAAGGAGGCAACGAGCGTGGAGCGCCTCTGCGCGGCTGCGCCTGCAAAAGCATATGAACTATGAAGGGGAAGGGGAACTGGGGAATCACCGTCCATTCACTCCGTTGACGCTTCCTTGCTCCGTCGCCGGCATGGCGTCGGGTCGGATGTGGCGACTTCCTGGCGCTTGGATTTGGAGCGATGCGATGCGAGACGAGGGGCCGAGGGGGCGCTGTTGTTTTTTGCGGCGGCGTTGTTTTTTGCGAGCGGTGTTTTTTTCCGGCGGCCGGCGGGGGATCAGGCGGGTGGGATAGGGTTGGGAGGGGTGGAGAATGGGGATAAGATTATATACCTAGGGTTTTACCTTATGGGCTGGTGGACTTTTTTACTTTTGGGCCAGGTATTTTTCACCCATGGGTTAACGGGTATGGGGACTGCTGGAACATACCCATACCCGCGTACCCGATGGGTGAAGGGTTTGGTCCATTTATGTACCCGTGGGTAGTGTGTTTAGTCCATATTCAAAGCCTAATGTTGTAAATACCCATCGGGTATCGGGTCGCGGGTCCCCATTGCCATCTTTAGTCGAGTCTTGATACTCCTGTGCACGTCCGATCCCTAAAGACGCTCGCCCGCCCGCCCGCAAAGGCGCCACCCGTGGGCCGTGGCAGTGCCGGACTGCTCTGGTTGCGACTGAGAGGCTGGCTGTGCCTCACCGCCACGCCACCGCGCCACCAAGTTCTGTGGGCAATGTGCATGCAGGCGGCGTCGTGCTATATGGCCGCGTTCTTGTCGTCTTTCCTGCCCCACTGCCTCTTCCGATCCTGTTGTTTTTCTGTTGCTCCCGCAGCTCCACGGATCTCTGGCCCATGGCAAAGGAAACTGATTTATAGTTTGTTGTCTGCTGCCTTGCTCTTTTTTTTTTTAAAAAAAGGGCTGCCTTGCTCATTGATGTTGATATAGAAACAAAGGCGACAACATGCATTAGCCTCAGGCCCGCACCTATGTGAGGGATTGAATGACCATCGATTAACACATCTATGTCCTCTTCCATGTTTGCAAAAAAAGGATGACGTTCAACACTAACATCAGAAGGATGCTATTAATTCAGAGAAACAAATTTCACCTAACAAGGTCTTATGTTGTGTAACATTACTGTGGCCTTGCTAAATGCATAGCCACGCGGACGTGAGGACATGTGATGTCATTGTGACATCACATTGACTCATTTTGCCTTACAAAATAACCGGAGAAATATGATTGTATACGTATATGTATATGTATGTGGACCTATAAAAAATAATAAACATCAACGGATTTGTCTCGCTCAATCTGTGGCACCGTGCAATGCACGGGCATATATCTAGTGAAGGAAGAAGTGACGAAGGAAAGAACAGAATTAGGTCACACTATCTATCTGAATATGGAAGCACTGAAGATTGAGGACCTAATTTTGCAGTCATAACCGAGGCTGCACTGAAGGGCAATAAAAATATGAAGGAGAGCAGTGACACAATCTGCGCACCTAAATAACAGTAGGAGGAGAAGACATCCTCGTTGTTAATAGAAGCATCATGAGGTTTGTGACATTGTCCAGTCCTGTGCTATCAATTTAGACCTAACAAAGCCATAGTAAGATCCAACCTGTAGAGAAGATACAGCTGCAACAAACTACTATGAAGACTATTCTGAAAGGAAATAGACTTTCCATAGGAGCAGCCTGTGTACAGTAGCATACTAAAAGGAAAAAGAGGATCACAAATTGCATAACAGGATCTGTATACTTACCACAAGGGAAAAAACATTGCGAAATTTTGATCAGGTGGACCAGGTAAAGGGGTTGGATAGTATTGTCTTCACCTAACCAAAACATATGTTACATGCTTTTCTGAAGACATAGTGTTGGTTTCAATTGGTAATTTCATCAAGCACCTCACCAGCAGAGAAGGATCGAGAGCGGTGACGCGATCCGGGTCGGCAGTGGCGGCGAGTATGGGGAGAGAACATTGTCCTCCTGTTGTCCTAGCAGAAAAGTAAAAGAAAGAAAAAGCGGAAAAGGGGAGGCCTGGCATAGAAGCTGCACAACTGTTGATTCTCTGCATCCAGCCACAACTCAGTGAAAGTGGGACACATTTTTATGCATCGAAATCAGAATGTAATCTAAATTCATGGTAATAGCAGCAGAGAAGCTGAAACAAAATAGAATATCATATCAGAATCATAAATTCTTGAAATTGAGCACATAATGGTCTCATAAGTTAATATCGTATGTCAATAGGCAGCAAGAAATCAGCCAGTACTTGGTCTAGTAAACATGTGGAAGTGGGAAGGTAGCAGCTCACATAGCTTGGAAGTGAAAACTGTAAAATTTTGGCAGGGAGAAATAGGCAGCAACAAATCAGCTAATACTTGGTCAGGTGAACATGTGGAGGTGGGAAGGTAGCAGCTCACATAGCTTGGAAGGGAAAACTTTGAAATTTTGGTATGGAAAACCTATCAATTTAAAAGTCTAATTTATTGTTTAGTTGTCGAGGTTTCATATAGCTTTAATCCAGTTATGTGAAACTGAGAGGCAGACATATTAAATAGCAGTAGAATGTATGAAATATCTTGGCACAAAATTCAGCAGGTTAGACCATTCAATACCACAGGAGCCGTTCAACAGGAAGAGTATGCAAGCAA